CCCAATATAGCATGGCTGCAAACATTGTGGCAGCCATTTTGTTTCAAGGTGAATCGTACTTTGTAAGGCTACTGCGTTACTAATATATACTAGTCTTGACACGAGTCCTTGTACAAGAAGCAGTGACAGTATCCATCATTTCTGCAATCCTGTCACTATTCCTGTTGTCAAGTTCATATTATCATTGCATTATTATAACATTAATTGATTAATTGTTTTTTAGAAGTAAAATAAGTCATTAAACACTTGATAAAGGAATAATATGCAAGAGAAATAACTTCTATTAGCTGGAAATCTACAGTAAGTGTTGCAGTTGATCAGTTGCTTCAATTGCTTGCTTCATCAAGAGCTGTAGGTCTGTCATGATGTGATCTGAGCATGGGTGACCACACCCAAATTTTTTAACAAGTGCTTCTTTTATTAACAAAATGGCAGCATGCAGCTACGATGCACCTGATCCAGCAGTGACAGTACAACTTTTTTCCTTCTTGTAGAATTTGTTATAAAAGATAGGGACCTGCGCATACCTTATTGGAGCAGAATGGTGTAAGTATTAGCCTTCTATCGCCAGGCAAGGTCGAGATATTGATGAACAACTGGATTGACAGGAGATGATGATGATGATGATGATGAAGATGAAAAGGTAGCTAAAAAACTGCCGGTTTGGCGATTTTTGAATGTCCTTTTAGACAAGTCCTAGAGCTGTGCTAGTGGTCGCAACAGAATCCTCTGGTCAAGATCCTCCATTGAGTTTGGTAAGCAAAGGAGCTCATTTTCCATGTATAGCGAGGCTGCAAAAGTTGTGGCAGGCATTTTGCTTGGGGTTAATCCTACTTAGTAATGCCACTGTGTCACTAATAGTGATAATCACCAAAAATAGAATATATTAAATTACTAAGTGACAAGACTGATAAGTTGACTATTGAAGATAGTAATGTTATATTAGCTATTGTTTAATACAGATAATTGTTAAAGATATTAAATTTGATTCATTTTTGATTTTTGTGCAGGTTACAAAATGATCTTACTCATTCTGATACTGTCAAAGAATTACTTAAAGATCATGCTTTAATTAAGCGTTTTGTAGCAGTAATCCCTGATAACTGGCAGAATATAATAGGAAGGTGTAAACACATTTGGAATAATGTGAAAAGGTCTCTCAAGTGTCCACGTTTTAATGACAATGTTGGCCTTCTCAATAATTTTATTGGTGATGATGCACATGATGCTGGTGCACCAAGAAAATAATTTTTTGTCTAGTCCTGTCTAGAATGAGTCATGATTGAGACCTTTTCACTAGTTCTCCTTCCAACAAGACTGAATGTCATTGCCTTGCAAAGAAATAAGTTTGACATATGTGGCCATTTGATTGCACTCTCACTGTTATAATATGGTGATCATGCATCCAGTAGAGGAGGGTGACACCAGAAATTTGGAATCGATACCAAAACCAAGTAGTCTGAGTATCAGAATCAATGGTATCGAGTAGTGAATGAGTAGTGAGCTACTGCACATGCACAGGTAAGTTAATTAATTAATCATAATTGATAATTAAACATTAAGTCAAAGGCAAGTTTTTGTTCCAGAACAATATCATGTCCAAGTTCTTGGTTTCAGCAGGCTTTTTTGAAAAA